AAAAAAGTAAAGATTGATAAAACCAACTCTGTTGACTATCTCTCCTAATCTTCGAAAAATTTAGCTGCTGTCGCACCCGCCATTTTATTCATTCTGTTGGCCTGAGGAGAGGGCACCTTCTTCTTGTCCAAGGGAGTCTTTTTCCTTTATTGCTATTTCAGATTAATGCCTCTAAGTTATCTCCTCTTTGGCTTATAGATAGGCCTCTTTTATCCAGTAACTATGTATTAAATGATTAAGCACACATCCCGTGTTAAGCCCTGGAGGAACAGAAGTGACAGGGTGGGTGTCCTCACTGTGTTCACAGTGCTTACAGTGTGTTAGAGTTGCTCAGTGTACCTCATCCTCACAAAATTCTCCTTTGTTCTGTATCTCCTTCTGGTTACTACTACTTGCAAGTATGATTAGTTAGTTTACTGACCCTCTCCCTCATTCACCTTGGCATTTTCCACTCCACTTTTTCCACTTTTTCCAGGGTTTCTAAGCTCTGTTGGCAGTGGTCACCAATGACCTTCTAGTTGCAGAGTTCCAGTGGACCTTGGATTCACGCAGTGATTTTTAAAATTCTTGAAAATATTAAAGGGTTTACTTTGTTATTTTAAATGTTCGTATTGTTTGCTATTTTTTAGCAAATAACTTTGCTATTTTTCTGAGCATATATGACTGTCAGGAAAAGTTAGGGAGATGGTGCTAAAGTGAAGTCGCTCAGTCATGTCCGATTCTTTGCGACCCCATGGACTATAGCCTACCAGGCTCCTCCGTCCATGGGATTTTCCAGGCAAGAATACTGGAGTGGGTTGCCATTTCCTTCTAAGGTGGGCTGCAAATTATGGTGTCTCTAGCCACAGGTCTTGTGTGTTGGAGACGGCAGTGCCTACAGTTGGGTGTTGTGTAGCTTGTTTACGTAAATAAGAGTTCTGTCTCCTCCATCCTTGATGTTGGGATATTGTTTTGCTGGTGTAGGATATGAAGGCAAGAGTTACTCACTGGTTTGATTTCTAGGCTCTGTACCAGGAAGTAAGCAATTGGGGCTCACTGTGTTGCATCTCATTGGTCTGTAGAACCTTTTCAAGTTTTATTTCTGATTCTTAAAATGGGGATTATGCCAAATTCTATAGAGTGTTGAGGATTACAGTGAGTAATTTTTTTTTTTTACAGTGAGTAATTTAAATTTAGCTTGTTGTTCAGGATGTAATAAATTTAAATAAAAAGTTTCTGTCACTGTATAAACATTACAGTTGAGCCATATTACCTTTTATGGGGGACAGTAATTGGTTTTTTCCCCCTCACTGTTGTTTATGTGTACCCACCACTGATTATACTTTATCATATATACAAATTAACTTCTTAAGATGGTCAAAACCATTTTCTTGGAGGCATCTCTTTGGTATCCCTCTATTTTCCTGCTCTGATTAGATTTGATCTGATTTCTCTATAGGCTTCCTGTAGTCAAGATGTCATCTTGACAATTTTTCACTGTCATCTGAGGGAGTCACCTCTCCTGTCTCCTGTGTTAGACCTCCTTATTATCCCCCAGTTTTTGGCAATCACTGATCTACTTTCTTTAATTTTGTCTTTTCTAAAATGTCATAAAAATGGAATCACACAATATGTAGCTTTTTAAATCTGGCTGCTTTCATTTAGTATTATGTATTTGAGATTCATTCATGTTCAACAGTTGGTTCCTTTTTATTGCTAATTAATAGCTGTATGTATATGCTACATGTACTCACTCTTTGAAGCACATCTGGCATATTTCCAGTTTGGGGGGGACTGTGAATAAAGGTGCTGTGACTTCTCAGATTATTTTGAGAAAAGTGGCCTGTGGCCATCCCGAGCTACAAGGCAGGCTGAGAAATTGAATATTTAGCTTTTCACCCTCTTTGCAAGAGGACTGCGAGAGAAAAAATATGTTGTAAAGGGATTTTGGTAGGTAATTCATGGTGTCAGTTGCAAATGGCCTTTTCTTGGTATGCTGTTTCAGGGGTTTTGTTTGTTCCAGGAGCTTCCTGAGTTTGAGGTCCACAACCTGTTTCTGTCTTTACATAGATTGGAATCTTTGCTGAGTTTAGGATTCTAGATTGGAAATTATGCTCTTAAGACACTGTTGCACTGTTTTTTAAATTGGGATAAAGTATACAGAATTTACCATTTTAACCTTTTTTTAAGTGTACTTTTGTACACTTTATATTAAGTACATTCACATGGTATTGTGGCCATCCATCTTCAGAACTTTTTACAGTTCTTCCTCAATGAAAGTTCCATACCCATTAAACAATAACTCCCCATTTCCCCAAGCTCCCAACCTCTGGTAACTATTAATCAACTTTGCCTATGAATTGGACAACTCCAAGTAACTCATATAAGTAGAGTCATAGGATATTTGTCCTTTTGTGGCTGGCTAATTTTGCTTAGCATAATGTCCTCAAGGTTCATTCATGTTTGTTGGATGTGTCAGAAATTCGTCCTTTTTAGGGCTGAATAATACTCCACCGTATGTTTATATTCCTTATGTGCTTAACCTTTTATCTGTAGATAGAAACCTGGGTTGCTTCCACTTCTGAGCTGTTGTTAAGCTGTTTTAAGCTAGGAACATGGGTGTACAAATATCTCTTTGAAACCCTGCTTTTAGTTTCTTTGGTTTATACCCAGAAGTGGAATTATTGAATGGGATGGTAGTTCTACTTTATAGGAACACGATACTGTTTTCCATAGTGGCTGCACCATTTTATATTCTTAACAGTGGTATTCAGGATTCCAATTTTTCTGCATTCTCTCTAAAACTTATATTCTATTAAATTTTTTTTTTTATCATAGTAGCCATGCTATTCAGTGTGAAGTGGTGTTTTTTTACTGTAATTGTGTTTTGATGGCATATTGAATTATGTGCCTGGCACTTAGTTGCTATTGAGTAAGTGTTGAGTAAATAAAGGAAAAATTACAGTTGTTTTTGTCTCGTTGGAAGATTTGTTATTTATAAGTGGTTTTTGCCTTAAGGTATAGCTTGCTCCTAGACATCACATTTTGAATTAGATTATTGGCAGTAAAGTCTCCTCTGGACATATTGTTGCTTTTGGGTTCAGATACCAATTGGAAATGGAAAGAGGCAGCTAAAACTACATATATTAATTAGTAACTATATACACTTGTCCCTTGGCATCTTGCACAGGATTGGTTCTAGGACCTCCCTCAGATGCCAGAATTTTGTGGATGCTTATCTCCCTTATAGAAATGGCATAATTGGGACTTCTCTGGTGGTCTAGTGGTTGACTGTGCTTTCACTGCAGAGGACATGGGTTTAATCCCTGGTCAGGGAACTAAGATTCCCCCATGCCAAAAAAAATAAAGGCAAATAATATTTCTTGAATATAACCTACACGCATCCTGCTGTATACTTTAAGTCATTTCTGGATTACTTATAATACCTAGTACAGTGTAAATGCTATGTAAATAGTGGCCATAGTGTGGCAAACTTGAAGTTTTGCTTTTTGGAACTTCCTGAAAAAAAAATGTTTTTCTAATATTTTCTATTTGTGGTTGGTTGAATCTGTGGATGCAGAGGGCCAACTAGATAGTAGTAAACTAATTGCTGGTTAAAATTGAGATATTTTATATTTTTGTTTAGAATTGCTATAATCACTGTTGACAAGTGTTTGCTGTGGGTTTGTTGTATATGGCCTTTACTGTGTTGAGGTATGTTCCTTCTTCGCCTACTTTCTAGGGAGTTTTTATCTTAAACAAGTGTTGAATTTTGTAAAAAGCTTCCTCTGAATCTATTGAGATGATCATATAGCTTTTATCTTTCAATTTGTTAATATGGTGTATCACATTGATTTGTTATGTTGAATCCTTGCATCCCTGGGATAAAGCCCACTTGATCATGATGTATGACCTTTTTAATGTGTTGTATTCTGTTTGCTAGAATTTTGTTGAGGATTTTTGCATCTATGTTCATCAGTGATATTGGCCTATAATTTTCTTTTTTGTGGCATCTTTGTCTGGGTTTTAGTATCAGAGTGATGGAGGCTTTATGGAATGAGTTTGGGAGTTTTCCTCCTTCAATTTTCTGGAAGAATTTGAGCAGAATAGGTGTTAGCTGTTCTCTAAACTTTTGATAAAATTCGCCTATGAAGCCATTGGCCCTGGGTTTTTGTTTGTTGGAAGATTTTGTATTACAGTTTTGATTTCTGTGCTTGTGATTTGTTTATTCATATTTTCTATTTCTTCCTGGTTCAGTTTTGAAAGGTTATACTTTTCTAAGAATTTGTCTAATGAGATGAACCTGGAGCCTATTACATACAGTGAAATAAGTCAGAAAGAAAAACGTATATGTATATTAATGCATATATATATGGAATCTAGAAAGGTGATACTGGTGTTCCTGTTTGCAGGGCAGCAGTGGAGATGCAGACATAGAGAACAGACTTACAGATGTGGGGGAGGGGAGGGAGAGGGAGGAGAGGATGGGATGAATGGAGAGCAGAGCATGGAAACATATACACTATCATATGTAAAATAGATAGCCAGTAGGAATTTGCTGTATGACTCAGGGAGCTCAAGTCAAAGCTCTAGGTTGTTGTTTTATAACAACCTAGAGGTGAGATTGGATAGGAGGTGGGAGGGAGTTTCAAGAGGGAGGGCACATGTGTATACCTATGGCCGATTCATGTTGATATATGGCAGAAACCAACACAATACTGTAAATCAGTTATCCCCCAATTAAAAATAAATTAATTTAAAAAATTGCTATAATTGTAAACCATAGCCATTTAGACTGCCTTAGTAAAATTGGCTTAAAAGCTACCAGGGGAATCTGAAATCCTTAGTGGGTAGTTTCTTGAGAATTTCCTTTCTAGAGAATCTTTGCTTTATCTCATATTTCTTCCATATCCCTGAATTTTATCCTTGCTGTTTTTTTGTAATCTGGAAGTTTTCCTTACCAAGTCTGATTTCTTGCAGATTTTCTATTTTGTGCATACGTTATTTTGTATATACTGTATATGATGACTTCGGTGAGCAGTGACCGGTCCAGAGGTGCTAGGGAAAAACCACAGATTTCAGCGACACAGGGAACACAACTACAGAAACAAGTGGTACAGGTAAGTTTTTGTGGAACTCTTGTTTTCTTTGTTTAAAATTACAGAAATTAAGGGGCATATATGCTTTAATGTTCTCCTTTGTAGGAAATCCAGGATTTTGAAACTTGTTTTTAAAAAGATAGTTTAGGGATTTCTCTGGTGGTCCAGTGGTTAAGAATCCATTGCCAAAGCAGGGAACACAGATTCAGTCCCTGGTCTGGGAAGGTTCCACGTGCCATGGAGCAGCTAACCCTGTATGCCACAAGTACTGAAGCCCACACACCTTAGAGGCTCCGCAATAAGAGAAGTCACCACAATGAACAGCCTGCCCACCACCACTAGACAGTAGCCCCCACTGCCACAACTAGAGAAAACCTTCACACAACAACCAAGACTGAGTGCAGCCAAAAATATATTTTTTTTTAAGAAAAAGATATATTGAATTTTTTAAACAAGTAAATAGTCTATAATAGGAAAGAAGAAGTACAGATTCAGGTAAAGTTGTTCCTTAACTATTTAATCCTGAACTTTTTCCTGCTACTTATTAGCACCTAGTCTGTCTCCTTTTTGTTATTAATCTAGGTGTGTCCCTGGGATGTAATACGAAAATCTCAAGTATATGGAAAACAATACTCTGAAGTAGAGAGAAATCTGAATTACAAGAGATTTTTATTTTTTATTTTATTTTATTTTTTTTGAAAAGTTAAAAATTCCTTAATTTTTTATTCCTGGTACCACTACCACAATTTACAGGGCAATATACCTGATGTAATGAAAAGAAAAAGAAAAAGACAAAGCTACAATAGATAAAAGACCTCAGGTGTACATCTAATTGACACTACATTGCATTAATCAATAGCTGCACTTTTTGCAAACTGTGGCTATGACAGTCCTGAACAAGAAGGGTTTCCTGTTTAAGCTGCAGTAACTTTTCTGACTATGGATCATCGTTCCTCCTGTCGCAGATTTTTACAGTTCCTCTAACGCACTCGGGACGACTGTCTCAAAGTAACCTGCAGCTTTCCTGACAACTCCTCGCTCTCTCTCCTGCTAAGAACTGTAGCCCTTTTCTTCTGAGTTTTTAGAACCTTCTGCTACCATATCCACCACTTCCACCACCAGATCCATAACTACCACCATAGGGACTGCCCGAGCTTCTTCCACCAAAACTACCCCCTTTCATGGGTCCATAATTTGATTGCTGTTGTCCACTATAATTTCCAAAATCATTATAGTTTCCACCACCACCATAGTTACCTCCAAAATTTCCTCCTTCATTGTAACCATCATATCCTCCACCATCGCCACCATATCCACCACCTTGGTTTCCGTATCCTGGTCCACCACCACCGTAACCTCCTCTACTACTATAACAAGGACCACCGCCATAGTTGCCACCATCACCTCCAAATCCATTGTATCCACCATCACCTCCTCCATAACTCCCTCGGCTGCCACCACCTCCACCACCATAGCCTCCTCTTCCACCAGAGTTTCCACCACGGCCAAAGTTACCTCCACCACCTCCAAAGTTTCCTCCATGACCCATGAAGTTGCCAGATCCACCTCCACGACCTCTTTGTGATCCAGCAGATTGCATCTCTTGTTTAGAAAGGGCCCTTTTCACTTCACAGTTATGCCCATTAATAGTGTGGTATTTCTGAACAACAATTTTATCAACTGTATCATGATCAAAAGTTACAAAAGCAAATCCTCTCTTTTTCCCACTCTGCCTGTCTTCCATAACTTCTATGGTTTCAATCTTGCCATACTTTCCAAAGTAGTCTCTCAAATTATATTCTTCTGTATCTTCTTTAATACCACCAACAAAAATTTTCTTCACTGTTAGATGGGCACCAGGCTTTACAGAATCCTCTCTAGAAACAGCTCTCTGGCTCCACTACACGCCCATCAACCTTGTGTGGTCGTGCACACATTGCTGCATCCACTTCTTCAACACAAGAGTAAGTCACAAAGCCAAAGCCCCTGGAACGTTTCGTTTGGGGGTCTCTCATCACCACACAATCTGTAAGTGTGCCCCGTTTCTCAAAATGTTCTCTTAAGCTGTTATCTGTAGTTTCAAAGCTCAGACCACCGATAAACAGCTTTCTCAACTGCTCTGGTTCTTTGGGATCATGACCCTCCATTTTGAGACCGGACTCGCCTCTTCCAACTCGAGTTCAATATGGGACCGAGAGCTACAAGAGATTTTTAAAATGCTGTCTTTTCTGGGACTTTGTGGGTGGTTTAGGAGTTGGGACTCCATGCTTCCACTGCACAGGCACAAGTATGATACCTGGTTGGGGAGCTGAGATCCCACATGATGTGCAGTGTGGCAAAAAAAAAATTAAAATGAGTTGTTGGGAATGGAAACTGTCTCCATCTCCCACCCAGATAAAATTTTTGGAAAGCCGCCCATTGAGCTTTGAGAAGGATTTCTAGACCCTTAGATTTCTGATTTCCAGAGAATCAAAGTCTACAGGATGGAGGAAGGAGGACCGCCAAGTATTGTCTCTACTAGTTTTTCCATTGGCCCTTTAGGGGTGGCTCATTTTGTAGAAGAAAAAAGCTGCCCACTGAACTTGGAGAAGAATTCCTAGACACTTAGATTTATGACTTTCCTTGTAAAAAAAACGTTTGGTGAGAATTTCTCAAAACAGTGTTAGTAAAATCATTAACCCTATTCCGGAAAGTGTTTCTTAAGGGAGCAACCTGAAATTGGGGGTGGAATGTGTGTCTCTCATTCCAGAAGATACTTCCTGCCCAATCTAAATGTCTAATGCAGAGATGTACTGAGACACCCTATTGAGGCAGCAGGGTGTAAGACCATGAGCTCTTTTGAATCTGAGTAAACCTGGATTTGGGACCTAAGTTTGCCACTTTACCATTGAGATATTATTTAAGTCTCTTTGAACCTCAGTTTAAAAGAAAAATTGCTTGGAGAGTTAGAGAAACATTTTGAGAGTAGTACATATAATTTCTGAATATCCTTCTTCTAGAGTCCTCCCAGATTTTAACATTTTTGCCATGTTTGCTAATTTATCCTGTTCTCTCTCCTACAAAGAAGAGACCACACAACTTTTCCTTCAAACTTTTTGAGAATGAATTGCAGATATGGTGCATCTCTTCCCCTAAATATTGCAGTATGTAAAAAAAAAATGAGGATCTTATGTAGTCACAAAACAATGGTCAAAAATCAGAAAATCAACTCATCTAATGTAACCTGTACATTGTATTCACATTTCCCCAATTGTCCCAATAATGTCCTTTTTAGCTAATTAAGTCCTTGATCATACATTGTATTTAGGTGTCAGTTCTCTTTAGTCTTTCTTTTTTGAAATATCATTTATTTATTTGGCTGCTATGGGTCTTAGTTGTGGCACGTGGGATCTATTTCCTTGACCAGGGCGTAGACCCAGCCGCCTGCATTGGGAGCATGGAGTCTTAGTCATTGGACCACCAGGGAAGTCCCTCTTTAGTCTCTTTTAATGTAGGACTTCCTCTGTTTCATGACACTGATGTATTTGAAGAATATGTGCCATTTATTTTAAAGAATGTCTCCCAGTTTTAGTTTGTCTGATATTTTTTCATGATTAGAGGGAGTTTATGCATTTTTGGTAGATACCACAGAAATGATGATCTGTACTTAAAGCATCATATATGATGTATAGAACATAGGTTTGTCTTATAAACTGGTAATTTTGTCACTTGATTATCTAGTATCATGTGAGGAGATAGAAAAACACTCTAGTTTTAAAAAACATAAAATGGAGTGTGATAATGTTAAGCTTAAGAAGTTATTTTATGAGGAAAAATGGGCTTATTTGGGAATAGTAGAGAATTGCAATTCAGAATAAGCAAGCCATCGCAGAAACCATAGGCAAATCTCAGAAACAGAGGAACCTTATTTTATAGAGAAAAATGAGGAAGTTGGGAGGGGTTATTTTGAACAAAAGTCCATTAGAGAAAAGTGAGGTACAGGGTAGTAAGGGTTTCTCAGTAACTGAGTTGCTGAAACAGTTGGTCTCTTGTGGGGATGCAGTGTACATCTTTTCCCATTGGGGTCTCGCTGCAATGTTAGTTTTTCCTAATTGACCTCTAGTGGTACTGCCTGAGAGTTCCCCCTTCTGGTCTCCTGATTCCATTTTAGTGAATTTTCCCTTTATTAATTTCACAATGTTTACTTTACAGAATGCTTGGAAGGAATTAGAGATTATTTAAGTTCTATTCAGGAAGTGGTAGCTTTTACTCTTATTGTATATTCCGCATATGTTATGAAGTGATTATAATAATATTTGAAATTTTAATGAAAAAGGCCTGGTTACTGAAAGAACCCAGTATTTTGCTTATAACCCAACTGTTAAAACATTTAAGCAAAAGAATAGTTCTTAATTGTTGTTCAGTCGCTAAGTCATGCCCGACCCTTTACAGCCCTATGTACTGCAGCACACCAGGCCTCCTTGTCCCTCACTATCTCCCAGAGTTTGCTCAAGTTCATGCCCATTGAATCGGTGATGCCATCCAACCTTCTCATCCTCTGTTGCCCTCTTCTCCTTTTGCCTTCAGTCTTTCCCAGTATCAGGGTCTTTTCCAATGAATCAGCTGTTTGCATTAGGTTACCAAAGTATTGGAACTTCAGCATCAGTCCTCCTAATGAATATTCAGGGTTGATTTCCTTTAGGATTGACTGGTTTTATCTTGCTGTCCAAGGGATTCTCAAGAGTCTTCTCCAGCACCACAGTTTGAAAGCGTTAATTCTTTGGTGTTCAGTCTTCTTTATGGTCCAACTCTCACAACTGTACATGACTACTGGAAAGATCATAGCTTTGAATATACAGACCTTTGTTGGCAAAGTGATATCTTTGCTTTATGCTGTCTAGGTTAGTCATAACTTTCCTTCCAAGAAGTAAACATCTTCTCAATAATTAATTATAGTGGAAAGAGTGGCTGATTTTATTTTTTGGGGCTCCAAAATCACTGCAGATGGTGATTGCAGCCATGAAATTAAAAGATGCTTACTC